TGTCCTCACCGCCCGGAACCTTGTCCCCAGCGTCAGGAACCTTGTCCCCAGCGTCAGGAACCTTGTCCTCAGCGTCAGGAACCTTGTCCTCACCGCCGGGAACCTTGTCCTCACCGCCAGGAACCTTGTCCTCACCGCCAGGAACCTTGTCCTCACCGCCAGGAACCTTGTCCTCACCGCCAGGAACCTTGTCCTTAGCGCCAGGAACCTTGTCCTCACCGCCAGGAACCTTGTCCTCGCCGCCAGGAACCTTGTCCTCCCCGCCAGGAACCTTGTCCTCGCCGCCAGGAACCTTGTCCTCGCCGCCAGGAACCTTCTCCTCACCGTCAGGAACCTTGCCCTCAACGGCAGGAACCTTGTCCTCACCGCCACGAACCTTGTCCTCACCGCCAGGAACCTTGTCTTCACCTCCAGGAACCTTGTCCTCACCGCCAGGAACCTTTTCCTCACCGCCAGGAACCCTGTCCTCACCACCAGGAACCTTGTCCTCACCGCCAGGAACCTTGTCCTCACCGCCAGGAACCTTGTCCTCACCGCCAGGAACCTTGTCCTCACCGTCAGGAACCTTGTCCTCACCACCAGGAACCTTGTCCTCACCGCCAGGAACGTTGTCCTCAGCGCCAGGAACCTTGTCTTGACCGCCAGGAACCTTGTCCTCACGACCAGGAACCTTGTCCTAACCGCCAGGAACATTGTCCTAACCGCCAGGAACCTTGTCCTCAGCGTCAGGAACCTTGTCCTCAGCGTCAGAAACCTTGTCCTCAGCGTCAGGAACCTTGTCCTCAGCGTCAGGAACCTCGCGAAAGGCTTCCGAAGTTTTTACTATTGCGCAATCGAGTGAGATCATATAAATTTGATTATCGCGTATCATGTTTATTATAATAATCACTAATAGGTCACGGTTCACGAAACAGGCATCCTTAATTCTCATTTCACGGAGCATTTTTATCAACAATCACGCCTCACGGCTGTAGAACAAATCACATTTCACGACACTAAAATCAAGCATTTCACAGGAACAAATATTCACCATTCACGGTTCACGAATATACCTTTTCCCCTCCTCATCAATGTCCCTTGACCGGCTGTTATTTTGAACCCTGTTTGAACACTTTCAAGAAGTATATGATGGTCCACAGCTCTGTAGTGTCGGTTGAATAAAAGTGCGGATTATTTTTGATGATACGTCATAGACTCATACGAGAAATGAATATTCCATGGTAGTCGCAGCTGTTGTTCTTTCCCTAAGTATTCGCATTTTTTTTCAAATTCCACTTTGCATAAAATTTGGGGGGATCTGGCACCCCCGGTACTTGTAATATAATAGTAACCATTTCAGTGATGATGATTTTTCTAACTTTTTAGGGGATTTTAAATCCCCCCCACACTCTTAATGTTTTTGGCAGCCCTTAATAAGGAAAAACCTTCCTACAGCACTGTATCTCTTTGGATTTTCTTTTTTGAAGTGCGACTAACCACAAATACGATTTTTGGTATGCGTTTGGGTCATCCGAAGACGAAATGTAATAAATCTTTATAATAAAAAATCCCATCTTGATCAACTTTTTCACTGTCAAAGTTTCCAGATATGATGTCATTAGGTGAATTGCAAATTAGTTTTCCTTTGTTTTTTTTGTACCAAAAATTCACCTAATGACATCATATCCGGAAACTTCGACAGTGAAAAAGTTCATTAATTAAGATGAGGTTTTTTACTATAAAGATACATTACATTTCTTCTTCTTAGAAGGACCCAAATATTACACATACCAAATATCATATTTGGGGTCAGTCGCACTTTAAAATAAACTTTAAATACAGCCAGGACTCAACAGTACTATAGCTGCTTTCTGAAATACTATTTTATTATCAACATTAATTTAATTTACTGTAAAATAACGTGCATTGAACACAATACAAAAGCAAGCAACTCGATATACTAATAATAATATTATGCTAAGAAAATCTCTACAGTGAAAACATTAATGCATATAGCAAATAGTTATGGTACAAATCGTTGTGGATACACTACAATTTATAGTATTTTATTAAGGCCATACTTTTTTTATTGCTTAGTTATAGATTCATGTCTTCCTGTTTTTGAATGGGACCCTAATTCTTACCCTAACCCTAATCCAAACTACTGATCCCAAGTCATAAACATGGATACATGAATCAAAATATAAAAGTTGCTCCAAATGGCAAAGATTGAATTTGGTTTTCCCATAAACTACGTCAAGATTTTTTCCAACCTACAGACCATCCTTAAACGAAGAAATAAAAGAAGTACGGCCTCATTTATAGTTGTACACACTTTCTATAACCATGTATTAATTCATTGTCCTGTACAGTTTATAATCCGAACATTTTTACAGACATTGATACATGACAAATCTTTCGTCAGTTACGTTCAGTGGTAGTACAACTCGAGGTTCATACCATCATGAATTTCATCTGTGACTTGAATTAAGGAAAACTTTAAAGGGAAACCAGGGGCATATAGCCAAACTCAACATTGTACAGGGGGTGGAGAAAGTATCAGACTACAGGACCACTTGGTCCCAGAACATTTTTGGATGAAGGAAGGAACGAAGGACGGAACGAAGGAAGGCCATTCAGACAGACCCTATAACACATGGCATTAAAGCCTGTTTTCGGTTCAGGTGAACTCAGCCCATGAACTGATGATTTTTTGTTTTGTCACACACTTTTTTGTTGTGTCGACCACATCTCACCAAAACTGCGGGAACTGAAGTCTAGCAAAAATATCCTATGGTTCCAGTTTCATATCCTGGAAGGTAAGTCGGAAAAAAACCCTTACATTGGTCAGCAAAAGCCATGAGTGTGATCTGCTGGCATTGTAAGAACACACATCTGAAATCACCATGTCATTTTTGGTGCCTTGTTACATTACTAATATCATACATAAAAGTATTCCTTGTCTGCGATTGGTTGATTTCAGTGCAGTTAATCCCAAACTGTAGTGCAGTTTTCTGTAATCACTATGAACCAATCAAAATTGAGCTAGGTATTGGCGTGGAAAATTTAAAAAAATTCTTTTTTCAAAATAAACACGGCCACATTTGGCGGTGCGGAAAGATTTCCACACTTGGTCAAGTTCAAATTTGATTGTCTCGAATACTTTTATGTAAATTATTAATAAGTAATAGGATGGTTTCTCACGAAATTTGGATATTAAACATGCGCTTGCAAGTTTTTAAAAGACCTCATATAGCATGAGTCCAAAGGACAAGTGTATCCTCGTGCATGTTATATCCAAATTGCACTCGAAACCATGGTAGCACCTATACAAAGCAAGCAAGCTGTAACAACCTCACAAAAATAGGCTGGGCAGGTATTGTTGTGCAAAAACAAGTCGGTCACTTTCAAAGGATACAGTCATTTAGTGTTATATGGTCTTTGAAAATCGTGTACCTAATAATGGAAAATTAAATAAAATTCGGTAGCACAGGCTAGAGCTGCTCCCGATTAATCGATTATTTTTCCACAATCGATTAGGCTTAACAGCAGTTGGATAATCGGATCATCTATAACACCATATATATAACACCACATATTTTCTGATTAATTTAAAAAATTGCGACGGGATTGTGATTAATTTAAATGACAAACATTATTCAAAACTTTGTCCGTCAAATATAAAATTCACTGTCAGCGTGCAAAGTTTACCTTAGTCTGATCGGGTTTACCAGTGCTGCGAAAATATCTTTAAATTTTTTTATTAGAAGAATTTATTAGCATTTGCGTCCAACATTGCGGCGTGCGGATTTTAAAACCTTGTTTCACGTTTTAAAACGTTAGTTTGGCCACACCAAGTGCCATATTTGAGCAATGAAATTGACATGTTTATGTGCAACTTCCAAAAATTTAGTAAACACTTACAAACCTGCACCATGGGCATGTCATATTTAAATTTATTTAATTATCAATACGATTAATCGATATTAATCGATTGTTGACAACAATTAATCGATTACGAAAATTAACCGATGGGAGCAGCTCTAGTGCAGGCTTTCTAACATTCACAATAGAACTTTTATACTCCAGGATTTTGGGCCTGCAATGGGGTGCCTTTCTGGTGCAGTGCTCTAACCAACTGAGCTATACAAAGAAACAGTTGTTGAGCTGTAACCACATTGCTGCACCAGAATCACATGCAGGTTCGATTTCTGCACAAGGGCCGATAGTTGCATTATTTTGCAACTGCCCCTCAGGTTAGGTCTAATAAATGTACAAAAATCACACTAAAAAATTTTTCCATTACAAATCCCTACAACAATATTTTACAACCCCAGGCCTTAAAATATCGGTCGGTCACGGACATTGTCCGACCCATTCGTGAAATTGTCCGACGTAGAGAGGAAACCACCGGACATTCTGTCCGACCTAAGTGAAACTGAGGTTTATTGTTTGTCCGACCTGAGTGTATTGGTGTCCGACCTAACTGTAGCTTTGTCCAACGTAAATCAAAATGTACCTTAGTCCAGGACTAGAGGCTTGTATGTTAAATAGAGAATCAGAGTACTATTGTATAAAAGGTGAACTGGAAATGTTGTTTTAACGTAGTCGAGCGCGGGGTGACGAGCGAAATGGTGAGTCGGAAAACGGGCTTAAGTTGTCGAAGTCTTTTTTAATACTGCTGTTCTGGAAATCTGGAAAGCAAGTTAATTTTGGGTTGGAAATGAGTATGAAAGAAACAAATTATTTAATATTTTCACAACATTTACCGTTCAGAATTAATACATTGTGCTGATATTCATTTGTGTCATTCAGACTTATTTCCGGTCAAAACTGAACTGAAGGTCATCGGACATATGTCCGTCCCAAACTCAACCTCATCGGACATTTTGTCAGACGGCCCTGTAAAAGATATGTTAAGGCCTGCAACCCACCATTTTTTTAGAACAATTCTGTCCCATTTTGTCCCTGTCTGAGCGGCAATCAATTTCTTCAAATCACCAACGGTATCATCAGAGCTGGGTCGTTAGTCACGGAAAGTATTTGTTTACTGATAGACTGTGGTCAACATTAACAATGTAAGAAAAAAATAATTGCCATAGTATAACATGTGCCATCTTAACCCTGTACCTGGCAACAGACATCTCTCAATGTGAAAGTAATCGTAGGCTGTTGTAGTATATCAAATATATATTAAAAATGATAGATATTTGTAAACTATAGGTTACTCAATATTTCTAAATAATAATATATAAATATACCTAAAATATTGAGTATGTTTGGGACAGTTGTTTCAGTATTGAGCTTGAACAACTGTATTAAACCCGGTGAGTTTACTCTGTCTAACACAAGATAATTTTACCTGTCAATGGGAGAGTGCTGGTGAACCCATTGCATCCCAATGCACCCTACTTTATTATCATCCTCTGTCTAATGCGAAGCAATTTTACTCATCAAGGGGCAAGAGCTGGTGCTCAATGGGTTAAAAGAAAATTTTGCCACAAAATAGGTAATGCTTTCATTCATTAAGCTGTTTCCTTTCCAATACAGGTTCATAAAAAAATTATTGTTCATAAAAAAATTATTGTCCATAAAAAAGTGAATATTGTATGCAGGCATAATACTATTTTGGATCAATAGCCACAGAACTTAAAGTTGTAAACTGTTGGAGTATTATAATAGGGTGCAATAATTCAATATTTTTTAGTCGTACCTGACTGGTACTCCAATGACTATTGGCTCAAACTTGAGCTGCTTAAGGCAGCATTTACACTACGACGGTACAGCAAATTTACCGTAGTGTAGTGATTTGCATCCGGAGTGCCCAACATAGTGGTCCGCAGTTAATACGCTACGGCAAACCACCCTGTTATAGTGTAAACACAATATTAAGAAATGTAGTGAATTTTTAATGAAATTAATTTCCGTAGTTAATACACTACAGCAACCCACTCTGTTATAATGTAAACACAATATAATTCCGTAGTTAGTACGCTACGGTAAACCGCTCCGCTATGGTGTAAACACAATATAGTCTCAATACTAGAAACATAGTAAATTTTTTAACGGGGTGTTAGCCATAGCATCATACAGTAGTGTAAACGCGGCCTAAGACTCAATGTGTACTTAGTCTTTAATAGAATGAAGTAACAGGTTTTTGAAAGATATTCATTCAGTAACTTGAAACTAGTAGTTTATACATACACAAACACTACGATCGACTCTCTAACATTCCTTAGTTCTATCTCATCATATCAGTCCAATCATGTTTAATGCCCAGTCATGCCACACTTGCATATATTCCGAATATATTATGGTTTTGAATAACTTGGGCTTGGAAAGGTCAAATGTTACAAGCAAAAAGTTAAGTACGCAAATAACAAGAATACGAAGTACCTACGTGGTAAGCGACTAAAAAGACAGACGTACGTAACAGACCGTAATATTGGCATACCTCTGGTACGTAAGTAAGTACGCAAATTATCGCACCCTGTTAGGGGAAGCATCCATAGTCAACTTGCCACGAGAAACGTCAATTTGACGTTTGTGGGTGCGTGGGTTATTTTCTTTGATATTTTGCCTGTGGCAGTTTGACACTTTTGAATATTATAAAAGTACAATATAAAATTCTTTTGTATAATATAAAATTCTATTTGTAATACCGTACGTACTTTAAAAACACAAACCTGTACAATGTTTTCCCTAGTCAAGGAAAATAAATATACCAAACAAACAATCTTACTTTGCAAGACTTTAGATTTATTTGTTATGTTTGTTAAAACAAGTATTTTTGAGTATTCACACTTATTTTTTTCTTGCCACAGATTGACGTGGCAAGTTGAGTGGCAGTGTCGTGGCAAGTTGAGTATGGATGCTCCCCCTTACTCTATGGCATAAATTTGGTTGTATCGCTAACAACAAACCAATGTGGAAAGTTTGTACTGTGCAACCATGATAACAAGTGCACAAATTTGATGCTTTCTATCAAACTTTCAACATTCTAGTTAGCGATACAACCAATAATCCTGTATGGTATTTGTGTTTTTTTTTTGTCAATTTTCACAACAGAAATTGACATTTTTATGTATGTATTCTTAGTTGTTTTCATCAAAAGGATACTTGCACTTCACTCTGACTTTCTTCCCCAATCGGTCATTACAAGTAACCTCTAACATAATCGAGTAACGAACAAACTAAAAGCAAAATCAAGACAAAAACAATGAGTCATACTTCAATAGCTCCAGAATGCAATGTTTTAAAAAGATCATATATCACTTATTTACACCTAAAATTCATTGTATGATTCAAAATATACACTTACCTTTATTAGGTTGACCAAATTTCAAGCGAATGTATCGTAAAATCAACAGAAAATGTTAAAAATCTCTACAATTTGCCTGAATATGTCCACAAAACGTCACAAAATATTATAAGGTTGTTTTTATCTTACGCATGCGTCGTGGTCGTGATAGAATTGCCACTGAGCTATAAATACTAATTCTTTGCTGTTTTACAATGTCTTACAGGTATTTTCAAACAGTTCAATAATAAAAAGGTCATTCTGCACAATACTTCAAAATGTAAGCATAATGCAATAAAATTAGTACACAATACACGCAATCTTTGAAATAAATATTATAAAAAGACACAGTCCAGTGAGCATCAGTCATAAATCACCGCGCGGGATCTGGGGAGGACATCAAAAATCAAAATGGAAGGAAAATTACATAGCGGATTTCATCATAAACTTTTACGTGAATGGCAGTGCATTAATACCGATATAAATCCCGCTAATTTAATATATCCAATTTTTATCACGTATGTAGTTACATCGAACTTTTATTTCATAGAATTGATTTCTGATTGTGACTCACAGCACGAACATGGTTTACCGGAAGTGATCATTTGTTTATTTTATATTGTATTTTTATTTTGCAAAGCGATGAGGAAAACAGTTTAGAACCAATCAAAAGTTTGCCTGGTCAATATAGGTATGTTCAGATAGATAAGATAGTCAATTAGTCTCTTAATAAGAGCCTCCTCCTTTTAATAAGCCCTCTCTCTCTATTAAGTCTCCCTCTATAAATTAGGGCCCCCTTTTATGTAGGAAATTTAAACACCCCTCCACCTTCACAACAAGGAAATACATATATACTGAGTAGGTCAATAAATTATTTTGACAGTTAATTTTTAAGCACTTTATTTGGCTAAATCAATCAGTCCACCCTCCTCCCCTTGGCCCCTCCCCATTTACAATTAACATCCCCCTCGAACATTCCTGTAATAAATGCAACCCTAGCTTAACCCATTAAGCACCAGCGCTCTCCCCTTGACGAGAGTAAAATAAGAAAGTAGGGCGCATCAGGGTGCAATGCGACTCAATGGGTTAACTAGACACATGGGTAGATTGGCCAGTTAACCCATTAAGCCCCGCCAGCGCTCTCCTCTTGGCGAGTAAAGTTGCCTGGTGTTAGACAGAGTAAAATAAGAGAGTAGGCCGTATGGGGGCGCAATGTGACTAAAAAAGATTCCACTGAAATAAAATAACTGCACAACCTGCAATAGTTCACAATATGCCCCTGTCTTTCTGCTCCCCTAATTCCCCCCCCCCCCCCCCCCC